CGTAACTCAAGTTCATGTATTCTTCTACAGTCTTCCTTATTCATGTTCCAACTTCCACATGTATATGAGGCTGTTGAAAATAACATGTCTTGGGTCAGGTGCTCCTTAGTCCTCAAGTGACATCTCTGCTCTTGAACACTTTAAAAAGGTCTTGTGCAGTAGGCTTGCCTAATGCAAGAATAGGTCGTTTGATTTTTTTTGACTGCTGCTTCCTTGAGTGTTGACAATGTATCAATAAAGCAAAATGAAGTCTTTGACAATTTCAATCTCTTTTCCATTTATCATGATGCCATTTATTGGTCCAGTGGTGAGGGTATTGTTTTCTTTATATTGAAGTGCAACTGTGGTGTTTGATCTCCATCAGTAAGTATTTGAAGTCCTTTTCACTTTCACCAAGCAAAGTTGTATCATCTGCATATCGTAGGTTGTTGAGTCTTTCTCGACTCCTTTATCACATTCTTCTTTATATAATCCAGCTTCTCGAATTATTTACTCAGCATGCAGGTTAAATAAGTATGGTGAAATGATATAACCCCTGGTGCACACCTTTTCTGATTTTAAACCATTCAATATCCCTTTGTTCTGTTCAAACAACTGCCTCTTAGTTTATGCACCTGTCCCTTGTGAGCGTAATTACATATTCTGGAATACCCATTCTCTGCAATATTTACCATAACTTGACATGATCCACACAGTCAATAGCCTTTACGTAGTCAAAGTAAATTTAGATCCACCTGACGTCAGCCACCATATCCCTCGTTCTTTGTCCTCTTCTGAAACTGCTTGGAACCTCTGGCCATTCCCTGTCAGTATACTTTTGAAGCTGTTTTTGAATTATTTTTAGCAAACTTTTCCTTGCATTCAATATTAGTGGATATTGTCTGATGATTTCTGCATTCCGTTCTGTCACCTCTCTTTAGAATGGGCACAGGTATGAATCTCTTCCAATCAGTTAGCCAGGTAAATGTCTTTCAAATTTGTTAGCATGGATGAGTGAGTGTCTCCAGTGCTGCATAAGTTTGTTTAAAGATTTCAGTTTGTATTCCACAAATTCCAGGCACCTTGTTCTTTGCTAATGCCATTAGTGCAGCTTGGACTTCTTTCTTCAGTGTGGTTGGCTTTAGATTACATGCTACCTCGTGAAATGGTTGGGCATTGACCATTTCATTTTGTGTGTGTATATTATCAGATTTAAGTTAATCTGGATTCTGTGTTTGTAGTTAAATATTGTTGTGTTTGTTCCAACTCATGTCAGCCCTGTAAGGGTTCTAAGGAACATCTGGTTAGTTTTAACTGCCAATCTTTTAGTTAGCAATCCAGTGCTTATCCTATAGACCACACCGGGAGTCCCAAATTCTTTATGTTACTCTTGTTTCTAAGTGCCATAGAGTGGATTCTGACGCATAGCAATCTTGCACAGGGTTTTTCAGGATTTGAACCTCTGACCTTATGATTCATAGTCCAATGCCTATCCTACAGTGCCACACTAGAAGTCCCACCCTCAAATTCTAAGAATAGCATTTGCTTGTGGGCTTGAACTGCCTGCCTTGTGATTAGCAGTCAAGTGCTGATTCTACAGTGCCCCAGCAGAAGTCACCTTGTATAATGTGGGTATTTACAAATGGTACAAAGTTTTCAATTTGTGTATGTTGTTTTTTCAAAAGGTGATTAAGCTGTTTGGATATAGCTTTGGGATTAAACTTGGTAAGTGGAACCACCAGAAATATATCTTTTGGCCCAGCCACACCATGAGCCTGGTGTGGTGCTATAGCGTAAGCACTGGATTTCTAACCATGCTAACTGTAAGGTCGTAAGTTCAAATCCACCAGCTGCTCTTGGAAACCTCCCTGTACAGGATTTTTATGAGTCAAAACTGACTTGACAAGCACACAGCAACAACAAGCTACTCCACAAAGAAGTTGCCAAATTACTGAGGCTCTTTGAATTGAAAAGAAGTTTGGTCTCTTTTGGATTAGGGATTGATTTTCAATGCTCAAATATGCTGTATACTTTTCTTCGTAGTTCAGTAGAGACAGGAAACAGCAAAATGTTGGACAAACTTTCCGGTTACTTAGGCTTAATGTCCAATCTTCTTGTGTGACTTTATCTTGGAAATATTTCTAACAGTCGACTGAATTTTTTTTTATTCCTTCAAACATAGTGAATCAGTAAAGGGAATCATCTTTGCCGATTCAGCATCTATAGCTCTGTCTCTCAGGTTATTGGAGTAGTGATGTGGCGCTTTAACCTCAAGGTCAGCTGTTCAAACCCTCCAGCTGTTTCTTGGAAACCTATACAGTGTTGCTTTGAGTTGGAATCGACTTGATGGCACTTTACAACAACAATAGGCATTATTAGAACATTTGGTGATTTAGGAGATTGGACAAATGTGTCTTCAAGACATAATTTTGTTAATTAAAATGATGCTTGCCTTATATGTAATTGCTCTTATCATTTGTGCCCACATAAAAGCAAAGCGTGGCAAGGAGTGTGAGGGTTCATTGAGATCCTAATGCTTGCTTTTCAGTTAGCAGAGTTCAGTTTAGAGAAGGACGATCTCATGTTGAAAATGGAATCGACAGGCAGCCGTTCAGAAATACCATCATCATACAAACAAAGTATACCTTTACATCGAAAAGTCTTCTTGTGGAAATATTCATTGGTAATCTATTAAATATTTTTTGAAATCTGTCTGGTTATTCCTGGTATTATTCCTGGAGTCCTGGTATGGTGCTGTGGGTGAATGCTGGTTCAAGGTCACCAGTCACTCCTTTGAAACCCTATACAGGGTCGCTATGGTCGGAACCAACTCGATGGCACTTAACGACAACAACAACTGGTTATTCCTAGCATAAGCCTTCCTCAAAGTATTTTCTTAAATGCATACTTCATAGATCCCCCGTGTGGTGTAAACAGTTTGCCCTTGAGTATTAGCCTTAAGGTTGGTGTTTCAAGCCCACCCAGTGGCACTGTGGAAGAAACACCTGGCCATATGTTTTTACAAAGATGGCAGCCAAGAAACCCATTAGGAACAGTCCTACTCTGCACATGCTCAGGACCGACACAGTAGCAATGGGCTATATTACCTAAATACACTGACTTTCTAATGGGACAGAGTTACATACTTCATATTATTATCTTCCTCTCCTCATGCTTCAATCTTTTCATTCATTTCTTTGGAAAGGTGTAACTCATAAACTCCTCCTCCCTGAGTTTTGTTGAGGCCTGTGCCGTGATGTGTCTGACTTTCAGCTTGTTGTTGCCACGCCCTGCAATTCCCTGCTCCCCGTTTTTTCTATAAGAATTCTCTTCTCATGGCTTTTCAAGTATTTTCAAGTATTGTCTCCTTGACTTCCTGTGTGCTCAAAAAGAGAGGGCTTGTTTGGGCTCCCTTTTCATCTAGCAGGTGCCTGGCTCACAGTGCCTTTGGACTTGTTTACAGAATGGATGACGGAAGTCCATGTTGTGTTCTTTCATGCCTAACCGTGTCTTCTCTCTCTTTAAAACCTTTCTCCACACAGTGCCCTCACCATCTCTAATATTCAGGCTGGATCGACTGGCAACTGGGGCTGTCATGTCCAGACCCGACGTGGGAACAATACGAGAACTGTGGACATCGTGGTATTAGAAAGCTCTGCTCAGTATTGCCCTCCAGAGAGGGTGGTGAACAACAAAGGAGATTTCAGGTAAGTGACGTGGGGCGTACTGGGGAAGTCTGACATGGCCATTAACACCTCTTTCTTGTCAAAGTCACAGAATTGGTGTCCCATCCTCTGAAACAAAATTTGAGAAATGTATATACATGTTACATATGTGTCTTCAAGGAGGTGTCAATAATTTCATGAAAATATTCTAATTTTCCACAAACTTTTTGAAGTGTACTCATCGTGCTTTAGAAGAGTTGATGGTTTCAGAATCATCTAGGGTAATGCAAAAGAAAAAAAAAATTTTTTTTTTGCATGAAATTTACCCCAGATCTATTGAACTAAAGGAGTCCTTCCTGGTGTGATGCTGTGGCTTAATGCGCTGGACTGTGAAGTCGGTTTGATCCGCAAGGTCAGCAGTTCAAGTTCATCAGTTCCTCTTCGGAAACTGTATACAAGGTTACTGTGGGTCAGAACTGACTCAATGGCTCACAACAACAACATTGAACTAAAAATCAGTTGAGGGTAAAGCCGAAGTGTTTCATTGGTAACAGGATTATTTCAGTTAACATGTCAGCTTACTGTTATGGACAGTGTGTTAAAGTTATGCACAATTCAGGCAGGCCAAGGATAAGCACTGGACTCCAAACCACAAGGTTGGCAGTTCAAATCCACCAGCTGCTCCTTGGAAGCCCTGCACAGGGTCGCTGTGAGTCAGAACTGACTCAACAGCACTTAACAGTAACAACAACAACAATGATACTTCATGTCTAAGGGTTCTTTTATGGATGGAGTTGGGAAAGTTGTGTACTCCTAAGTTACTTTTCATTCTTGTTAGCCGCCCTGGTTGTGCAGTGGCTAAGCACTCGGTTGCTGCTGAAAGGTTGGCAGTACAAACGTGTCTGCTGACTGCAGAAGAAAGACCTGGCAATCTTCTGTACAACCTAGAAAACCCTACAGGGCAGTTCTCCTCTGCCCAGTGGGGTGGCTCTGGGTTGAAATTAACTCAGTGGCACCTAAAAACCACCTTGCCAGTTAGGCAGATGTCTTATTTAGGGAAACACTTGTCTAATTTGCTTTCCCAAATCAGTCCTTGAGGGCTCTGGTAGCATAGTGGTTAAGAATCGGGCTGCTAACCTGAAGGTCAGCAGTTTGAAACTACCAGTGGTTCTGTGGGAGAAAGATGAGGTTTTCTGCTCCCATAAAGATTTACATCCTTGGAAACCCTGTACAGGGTCACTGTGAGTCGGAACCGACTCTAAGGTACTTAATAACAACAACATTCAGTTCTCTTGGCAATTGAGAATTATTTTGGGAATTGAATGCTGGGCTGTAGCCTGAAATTGGGGAGTCTTAGGAACCCCAGATGGGTTTATTGAACTCTGTACTAAGAAAAACAGGATGAATTAAATGTTAAGGATTTATTTGCTAGAAAGTTTAGAATTTGTGTCCTGTAGCAATTTTTAAGTTAGATTTCTCTTTAATTTCAAAATGGCTGAAAAACATTTCAAAATAACCGTAGTTCAGGGACTTTTAGTAATGAGCTAGCAAACACCTTCCCCCCCCCCCAAAAAAAAAAACACACACACAGAGACACACATGCATGCAGTGCCATCAAGTCGATTCTGACTTAGGGAGACCCTGTGTGCCCCACAGTGCTTTTTCAGCTGTAATCTTGGGGGGAAAGATAGTCAGGTCTTCTTCCATGGCACAGCTGGGATTGGGAGTCCCCAGGGCAAACCATTGGTACCCCCCAGGATGCTGATGAGTTTATATTATTTGGTGCTGACAACTCAGTTCTGACTCATATTGATGCGGTACCAAGTTTCTGAGGCTGTGTATCTTTACAGGAACAGAAATCATCATCTTTCTACCGTAGAGGAGCTGGTGGGTTTGAACTGTTGGTCTTATGGTTAGCATTCCAATTCGTTACCCATTTCAGTTGATGTAATTGAAGGGAAGGTAGATGGCTTTTTAAGCTATAGTTAATATAACAAAATAAAGATTGTGTTTGTATTGCCTGTGGTTGACACACCATGCTGCAAGGCTGTTTTGCTTTGGGTGTTAACTTTTCAAATCCAAAGTGGAAAAGTTACAGCATCTTTAGCTCAGTTGATTCTTCATTGCTGTTTTTATTTAAGTACTTGGACTCTTTGGCATGAGTGTATGCAAGCCAGCATTTATTGTTGTCAATGGGTGAGTCTCTTATGTGGAGCGGCTATTGATGTATAACATTTAGCGTTTGTTTTAAGGACATCATAAACCAAAAAGAACCAAACCTCCTCCCGTCAAGCTGATTCTTATATAGGTATCATTGGTTAATTTTCTTCTTTTCAGCACCTTTTCTTCAGTCATAGAATTGTGCTTTCTGCTTATGGTGGAATTTCTGTTTCCTTCTTAAGAGTTTTTGAGTGTTTTACATTTTTAACGATAGATAAAAATATCTGAAAATGTAACCAATTAATGAATTATTTATCTTTTGACACTCCACAAGACACTAGATCATTAAAATCCCACTGCATTAGTAAGATTTAGAGTAGTGTTGCTTGATTTAGTTATGCAGTGTTTGGTAATGAATTATATTTGTTGTGACTGATATTATAATTCAGCAGCTTCTCTGTTATGTATCAACTGTAATGTTCAATTTCATTTCCCATTTTGGAAGCATTAACAATGGAGGTCAGATAATAAAGAATTCTCCCAATCTAGTTAGTGATGATCCATGTCCAAAAGTTGTATAGTCACCTGCATACTGAGTGGCTTTGGCTTCTCTCTGTTAAGTTCAGCTGTGTACTGCATTGGGTTCCTCAAGACACCCACACCCCCTGTTCTCAGAAATTCCTTGGAAGGATTCAAGGTTCTTGTACCCACAGCTCTGATTTATCCGTGATGTGGTGGGGTTACCTGGTTTTGCCTGGTGCAAAAGGTGTTACAAGTTAGATGTTGGGATGCTAATGCCAAGGATGGTGGTTCAAACCCACCAGTCACTGTGTGGGGGAAAGATGAGGCTTTCTGCTCCTGTAAAGAGTTAAAGCCTCGGAAACCCTATAGGGTTGCTGTGAGTTGGAACCAACTCAATGGCATACCATGGCAGGTTTGGTTTGGGAGGGTGGGTTTGCACTTAACTACTAATGGGAAGTTGGCGGTCCAAACACACTCAGAAGTCCTGCAGAAGACGGGCCTGGTGTCGCTCCCCTAAAGATCACAGCCAAGAACACCTAATGGAGTGTACTTCCAGTCTGTAGCACCAGGGGCCGCCGTGAACTGGAGTCGGCTTGATGCCAATTGGATTTTGTTTTTCACTTGAGGATACATGGTAGATCCTGGTATGGTACTGTCAGATAAACACAGAGCCACAAGTCCACCAGCCACTGCTTAGAAACCCTATATAGTTTTGCTATGAGTCAGCACTAACTCCATAGGCCTTAACAACAACACATGGTAGATCTTAAGGAAAAACGGCATGGGTGGAATCTACAGGACCGCCCCCCCCCCCCGCCCAGGAGGTTTTCTCCCTGCCCCTTCCTTCAAGCAGCCCAGACGCAGCAACACCATTGTGACATGTCTGCCCAGGAAACCCACTAGGGACTCGGCACCTTAGCTTTTTATTTGGTGTAGATGACGTCAGCACCTTCTGCCCAGCAAGGACTAGACTGCAGATGAGCTGGAGGAAAGGAGGTGCTCAACAGAAACTGCAGTGCCTGCCCCCACAGTCCAGGCACAGGGGAGCCACCCTGTTAGTCTGTCGGCTCCACACTGAGAACCTGCCGGAGCCAAGTCCCTGGACTCCAGCCTGAGAACAGGCCTTTCTGAGGACAACAGTCACGGCCTTAGTGTGGAGAAGACTTTCTTACACGTACGCTCACTCATCTATGAAGGACCACGTCATTCTTGTGTTGGAGGAAATTCTGGCCTCACATACCTGACAGTTGGGTGCACTGTTATGAAGTGCTGTCAAGTCGGTTCCTACTCACAGCGACCCTGGGTAGCCTTTCCAAGAAGAGACTGATGGGTTAGAACTGCCAACCTTTGAGTTTAGCAGTCCAGTGCTTATCGTACAGTGCCACACCAGGATACTAATACATAAAAACAGTAATTAAACAGAAATGCAAAACCCATTTTATACACCCTTTTTCCTTTTTTACTGGATGAGATACAGTTTCCTTATTCACAAGGAATACTTTATGTTTTTCTTTTAGAAAAATATTGTATTTTGTTTTGGTATTCAGATATACTCAGCTGAGAGCTTACAATAAATTAACCATTGCCATAGAGACAGTTCTGACCAGGAGTTCTCTTAAAGGTTAGTCCGTGTTGAAAGATTATGTTTGTTTTTAAGATTTTTGATCTTTAAACTTAAAGACATTTTGTGTTTCTTCTTGATGTTATTCCACTATTGTATGGAACATGGAGCCATGGTAGAGTAGAGGATTATAAACTGAGTACTAATTGCAATGTCAGTAGTTTGAATCTACCATTCGCTATGCAGGAAAAAGATGAGACTGTCTAGTCTTGTTTAAGGATTTAGTCTTGGAAACCTTATACAGGGTCCCTATGAGTGGGAATCCATGACAGTGGGTAATCTTTATGGGAACAGATCATGAGGTCTTTTCTCCCGTGAGCCACTGGCCGACCATGTATGGTGGTGATGTGCCACCGAGTTGGTTCTGACTCATAGCAACCTTCTATAGGATTTCTGAGGCTGTAAATCTTTATGGGTTCAAACCCACCTGGAACCACTGGTGAGTTTAAACCAATAGCCTTGTGGTCTGAAGACCACTGCTTATCCTACATTTTCACAAGGGCTCCGTACTGTAAAGATATGTGGTGGTGTTTGTTAAATGCCATTGAGTTCGTTCCGCCTCACAGCGACCCTGTACAGGATTTCTGAGGAGCAAGCTGGTTGGTTTGAATTGTTGACCGTGTGGTTTACAGTCCAGTGCTGATCCTCCCTAGAACATGGTATGGGGCAGTTTTACCCTACCCTGTAGGGTCTTTGTGAGTCAGAATCACCTTTAGGGTACACATCCACAATAATGAAATATTGCATGACAGGCCCTAATAGTCAGTTTTTCCTCAGTTCCTTTTGTCATGTAGTGTTTAAATTCTATTTTGTGTTCATTTGCCCAGGTGGCCTAGAACCTTGGCTGGCATTACTGCCTATTTGCAATGTACGCGGAACACTCACGGCAGTGGAATATACCCTGGCGACCCCCAAGACGAGAGAAAGGCTTGGCGCAGATGTGACAGAGGTGGCTTTTGGGCGGATGATGATTACTCTCGATGCCAGTATGCAAATGACGTCACTAGAGTTCTCTATATGTTTAATCAGGTAAGTGGAGTTTTCATGTCTGTTCCCATGGAAGTTGTGACTAAAACATGCTATCTAGTCCTTCTGTGTACTTCTCCCCTCCCCTTTCAACTAAGTAGAGCGTAAAGATTTGGTGTTTGTACTTTACTGCTATTTTTAACGATCTATTTAGAAATGTATCTGTCTTCACAACCAGGTATGGTCTTCATAACATGTTCAGAACCCTCTTAGATTCCCAGTTATTGTTTTGTGCCATCAGATTGATTCATAGAGACGCCATGTGACAGAACAGTGAAGCTATGGATTAATGTGTTGGACCGAGAGGTCTGTTTGAGCTATAAGGTCGGCAGTTCAAACCCACCAGCCGTTCCTAGGAAACTCTCTACAGGGTCGCTATGAGTCATAACCAACTCCACGGCCCTTACCAACTGCAATTACAATCTTTATGCAGTAGATTGCCAGCTCGTTCTCTCGTGGAGCTCCTGGGTAGATTCAAACCACCTACCTTTGGGTCAGGAGTCAGACGCTTAACCATTGTGCCAACAGGGCTCCTTCTAGGAATCTGTGGGTAGCACAAATAGTTAAGTAGTTTACTACTAACCAAAAGGTTGGTAACTTGAATCTCAGCAGAGGTACCTTGGAAGAAAGGTGTGATTGTCTACTTATAAACAATCCCAGTTGTTGAACCCTAACTGTTGGAGCACTAGCCAACTGGAACGCATGGGGTTGCCTTTAGGCAGAGTCCCCCGGGGTGGATTTTCTTGGTACTGGCGTCATTCTTCCTTCCTAGTCTTTGTCTGACTCGGTGCCTTTGCATGAATACCTTTATCATCTGTATTTTGGGCAAAATCCCAACCATCTAAGTCCACCTTGAAAGTCACTTCCAGGGCACCTTTTATAATCCTATTTTGAAGTGATCCATAGTCCTTGTACTACTCACAGGCCCGAATTACTTTTGCTTTGCTACCTGTTTGCTAAGCACTAGCAGATTACATACGACCTGAACATGGTATCTGCTACATCTTCATTTTCTTCTGCTCTTTACCACCTAAATTTACCATTGGCAGAAGTGTTGGATGCTAAGCCATTGTTTAGTCCATAAATAAACACATGTCAAGCCCGACTGTCAATGCATGCTGGTATAGACAAGTACCCAATAGTGGCTGATTGTTTTGTGCGGGTAGGTGTTCCAGGCGAGGTATCGATCACTCCCAGATGGGGCCCTCAAAAAAAGCTTGTATGAATTCGTCTGTTTCGTGCCAAGTTTTTTTTTTAAACCCCTTGGTTTAGTTTCCATCTCATTCCAGTTTTCTCAGGTTTGACGAAGCATCTTAAGAAGGTTGTGGTGAGTAAATGATGCACTTTTTGTTACCTTGTGTGGGAATGTGAAGGCGCAGATGGCACAACTCCGCTGATGGCTTTGCTAAGTGTCGCTTTCTGCATTTTCAATGTAGATGCCCCTCAATCTTACGAATGCTGTGGCAACAGCTCGACAGTTACTGGCTTACACCGTGGAAGCTGCCAACTTTTCTGACAAAATGGATGTTATATTTGTGGCTGAAATGATAGAAAAATTTGGAAGATTTACCAAAGAGGAAAAATCAAAAGAGGTACTTTTCTCATGCAGATTGATAGCATACAGGGCCAACAAATGGTGGCTGGCATGAGTTGGACTGATATTTTTAAAGCCTTGTTTATGTTGCTATATTTGAACTAAATATGCATTATCATTCCCAAAACAGTCGTTGGAAAAAAGTATGCTTCATCTGTTGTAGTGACATGTTGTTGGGAAGAGTGAGGTTAGTTCTCCATTCTTGGTGATTAAGATCCGTGATTCATGATTATTCTGAATTGAATTGTGTCCCATAAAAAGTTATGTCAAAGTCGAATCCCGGTACCTGGAAATAGGACCCTGATTGGAGATAGTTTCTTATTTTTTTTTCAAATTGTGTTAATCGTGTCATATTGGGAAGTGGGGGGTGGGCCCTAAGCCAAATCCCTTTGATTTGTTAAGTGGCCTCAGACTGATTTCATAGTGACCCTGCAGTTATCATCTGGTGCTTATCTTACAGAGCCACACCAGGACTCGAATCTCTCTGAGTAGTGTCTTACAAAAAGAACAGAGTTGTTTGTTGTTGTTGTTAGGTGCCATCAAGTCGCTACCGACCCGTAGCGACCTTATGCACAACAGAAGGAAACACTGCCCGATCCTGGGTCAACCTCACTACTGTTGCCATGCTTGAGTCCTATCAATGCTGCCACTTGGCCAATCCATCTCGTTCAGGTTCTTCCTCTCATTCTCTGACCCTCCACCTTACGAAACATGAGATCCTTCTCCACTGACTGATCCCTCCTGACAATATGTCCGAAGTATGAAAGAAAAAGTTTGGCCATCTTGGCCTCCAAGGAGCACTCTGGCTGCACTTCTTCCAAAACGGATCTGTTGGTTCTTTTGGCAGCCCATGGCGCTTTCAATATTCTCCTCCAATACCATAACTCAAAAGCATCAATTCTTCTACAGTCTTCCTTATTCACTGTCTAGCTTTCGCATGCATATGAGGTTACTGAAAACACCATGGCTTGGGTCAGGTGCACCTTAGTCCTCAAGCTGACATGTTAGCTCTTCAACACTTTAAAAAGGTCTTGTGCAGCAGATTTGCCTAATGCAGTATGTCGTTTGATACAGGTAAATATTAATATACACAGAAAATTCTGTTTCTGAACAGGATTATACACAGAGATATAGGGGTATGGGTCAGAACATATGTTCTGAGGAGACATTGTTTAAACCATAGACTGATACTAGAGCAGTGAACTCCTGGTATTGCTCTGTAGGATAAGCACTGGACTTTGAACCACAAGGTTGGAGGTTCAAGCTCACCAGCCACTCCTTGGAAGCCTATACAGGGTCGCTATGAGTTGGAGCTGCTTTAACGACACTTAACAACAACAACTATAACAGCAAAGTAATAAATGAGGGGGCTTCCAAAGGTTTGTGAAAACACGGAATGAAAAGAGATTGGAATTTTTTCTTGATCTGTTGGATACACCCGCTGTTAAACTATGTAGTCCGGTGTTTTCCCCACCGTTGATGTCCTAAGTAATATTGAAATACCAAGACAGAGCAACATAGTACTAGAAAGAAATCGTGAAACTATAGAAAAACTTCTGATTAGGAAGTCTGACTCTTGGATTGTTCGGTCCTTCCTAACCTTGTTGTAAAACCTTGAGTTAGTCACTTATATTTTGGGGGACTGCAGCTAATCACCTGATCAGAGGTCCCCATTTCTCTAAAATTAATTTCTTGTATAATTGACTATGTTACAAAAGTCCAAACCAAAACTCAAATCCACTGGCATCGAATTGATCCCAACTCATAGTGACCCTATGTAAGGCTTCCACGGTTGTACATCTTTTTGAGAACAGACAGTCACATTTTTTACCTGTAGCTTGTGTATTTGAACTGCCAACCATGCTGTTAACAATCCAGTACTTATCCTACTGTGCCATTGGGGTTCCTTTCACAAGAGACAGTTTATATTAAATTCTCATGAAGCTTAAAATTTATAGTATAAGAATACATTAATCTACATCTGAAAGCTTGTTCGAACGTATTGCTTATTTGCTCCGCTCATTCTGAAAACTGTGCTTGATAGTCATTTTTTCCCTCATATAAAATAATATGGACAAGCCTGTCAGAGTCTTGGAGTCCTGCTTTGGTGTTTTAGGATAAGCACTGGACTGCGTACTGCAGGGTTGCTCCTCAGTAAACCTATACAGGGTTGTTATGAGTCCGAATCGACGTGACAACACTTGATAGCAGCAGCAATCATAGTTATCATTGTTTTCCTGTTATTGATACTGTTGGATACTGTCAGGTTGGTCTGACCCCTAGTGGTGAGGCTATGAACAAAAGAACAATAACATTGCGGACCCTATACAGCCCATTGTTGCTGCCACTGTGACAGCCCATCTTGTTTGGGGTCTTCCTCTTTTTTTTTGCTAACCCTCCACTTTCCCAAGCAGAAGTCATTCTCCAGGGACTGGTCACTTCTGATAAAATGTCTGAAGTATGAGAGATGAAGGAAGCCTCAGCATTCTGGCTTCTAAGGGACATTCTGGTTGTAGTTCTTCCAAGACAGATTTGTTTATTTTTCTGGCAGTCATTGGTCCTTTCAGTATCCTTTTCCAGTACTGTGCATCAAATGCCTCAGTTCTTCCACAGTCTTTATAGTCCTTCTCCAACTTTTACATGCATATGAGGTTATTGAAAATAACATGGCTTGGATCATTCGTGCCTTAATCCTCAAACTGATATATGTACTTTTTAACACTTTGATGAGGTTTTGTGGAGTAGAGTCACCTAATGCAATACAGTGCAGGACTTTTGTTTTCTTTACATTTAGGTGCAATCCATACTAAAGGCTGTAGTCTGATTTTTATCCGGAAGTATTTTATGTCCTAAGACAGATGGACAGGTGCTTGTCCATTGGCGTTGGCTCTGACTCACTGTGTCCTGTGTACAGTAGAGTGAACACTGCTCTATCCTACATGATCCTCCCAGAGGTTCCTAATGTCTGAGTCCACTGTTGTAACCTCTGTGTCGGTTCATCTTGTTGGTGTTCTTCTTTTTTTTGCTGTCTCTCTACTCCACCACACATGATGTCCTTTTCCAGTGACTGGTCCCTCCTGATAACTTGTCCTGATAGAGTACGTGAGATGAGGTCCTGTCATTCTGTCTTTTAAGAAACACCCTGGCTGTACTCTTCCAAGACAAATTTATTTGTTTTTCTGGTACTTTGAATATTCTTTGCCAACACCACAATTCAATGCATGAGTTCTTCCAGTCTTTTTTTTAATGATTGTTCAACTTTCACATGCATATGAAGCAATTGAAAATAGCCATAGTTTAGGTCAGGGGCACTTTAGTCCTCAAGCTGACATCTTTGATCTTGAACCCTTTATAGAAGTCTTTGTAGTAGGTTTGCTTAATGCCATATGTCATTTGATTTCTTTACTGCTACTTTTAATGAGTGCTGATTATGGATCTAAGCAAAATGAAGCCTTTGGCAACTTCAGTCTTTTCTCCATTTAGCATGATGGTGTTTATTGGCCAGTTGTGGGAAATTTTATTTTCTTTCAGTTGAGGTACAATCCATACTTAAGGCTATAATCTTTTTTCTTCATTACTAATTATTTTAAGTACTTTTGCTTCCAGGGAGCAAAGTTGTGTCATCTGAGTATTTGTTGTTGTTGTTAAGTGCCATTGAGTTGGTTCCGACCCATAGCAACCCTGTATAGGGTTTCTGAGGAGTGACTGGTGAGCTTGAACCACCAACCTTGCAGTTCAAATAGCTTTGCAGTCTGGCACATTAACCTTCAGCGCCACACATAGCAGGTTGTTAATGAGTCTTCTTCTAATCTTGATGCTAGTCCTGATGTGGCACTGCAGGTTAAGCACTGGACTGCTTACCACAAGGTTGGTGGTTCAAACCCACCAGCGTGTCTTAGGAAACTATACAAGAACGCTAATGGTTATAACAAACTTGACTGAACTTAATAACAACAACTTGCAATCCTGATGCCATGTTTTTCCTCATATAAACCAGCTTTTCAGATGATTTATTTAGCATCCAGGTTAAATAAGTATGGTGAAAGGATACAACCCTGGTTGAGAATAGAAGAGAAATCCTTAAAGGCTGCAGATAAAAAGTTCTGGCTAATTCACAATGTAGATCCAGATGGCTTCTTGCTCACTGGCCCGATTAGTGTGTTGCATCACCGTCTCAGCTACCTACTGATACTGTGTATGAAAGAATTACCATAAATGGGTGGCTTTAGAGAAGACGCATTGGTTTTTTTTCCATTCTGCAGGTTGTAAGTCTGAAGTCAGGGTGTTGGCTCAGCTAGACAAAGTTCCTTCTTTGTCTTTCTTAGTTTCAAGTTGGGTTGTTGTGGGCTGCTGTCCAGATGACCCCTGACTCATGGTAATGCAATGCTCATCGCAGCAAACTGATGCCTGGTTTTCCTGCACCATCCCCAAGCTCTGATCACCTGGGTTTCCATGGACCGATTTCCAGAAGTAGATGACCAGGTCTTTCTTCCTACTCCATTGTAGTCTGGAAACTCCACATAGTCTTAGCCACGTGCAAGCCTCCACTGACACATGGTGATGGTTACACACAAAGTGTGCTGGCCAGGAAATAAACTGGGGCTCCTGTATGGAAACCCACCGATGCCTTTCAGCTCCAGTTGTTGCAGTCAACCTTTGACCTCCCTGTGATTGAAGATGCATGAGCTTGAAGCTATGGAAAGGGTGGCTTAGATACAGGTATAAGGGCATACTATACTGGGGGAAACAGGTGTGATGTTAGGATCGTCTACAAGCCAAGCAACCAAGACTTCCCAGGGCTACCATCAGGAAGGAATGAAGAGACGTGGCCAGGACCCTGATCTGGACGTTTAGCCTCTTAAATTGTGATAAAGTAGATATCTGTTCCTTAAAGCCATGGATTTGTGGTATTTCTGTCACAGCAGCACCTGTGGGCACTTTGCTGTTGTTAGGTTGTTGAGTCCATTCTGACTCATAATAGAATGAAATCTTTTCCGG